GCAACTGTGACTTAGTTGGCCCTCCGTGTTCATGCCACGTGCTGCCTGGAGGAAATAAGAGTCTGCTGTTCCAGGAGTTATGATGTTGGCTTGCACTAGGGCCTGTGTCTAGCCACTTCCTTTCAAACAATCGCCCAGTGTCTTCATCATTGCTGCCATCTCTCTGTATATTATTGTTGGGGCACTTGTTGGCAAGTGGATAGAAGCAGAGATGGTAGTGAGAGTGGAAGAAACGTGCTGTCCATCCAGGAGAAGTCTGTCTTCTGCAGTGACTGTAAGTTGTCTTTTCAAGTAATGACGATGATGTTGAAGCCATACATTGATGTCACAGACACATGCACAGAGTGACGTCAAGGCAATATTGAAGATTTCAAATATAGACACTCAAGTCAATAGGGGTCATAAGATATTACTTTACCCAAATCACTTTCAGGTTTAACACCTTAACAATCATTGTTGTGCAGTTAATTGTGTGTGTTCATTTGACCCTAAAAGAAGCAGGGAGTAGATAGAATCTGCAAGCAGATGTGAAGTGGCATGCCAAGGGCCACAACATACTGCCAGCTGCTGGATTTGAACCTCCAACCATATGATTGGAAACCATAGTCCATAACCACTTGGCCACATGAAAGAGGTCAGCCATATGTATCCATTTTTTTACAAGCCAAGCCTTTAGTTTCATATAGCAGCTTTTTACAGTCACTTTGATAGCAGTTCTGTGAAAATCACACATACTGTTCTCATGCAGCACCCACATTCCCGAAACTGACAGGTCAACCAAAAATAACATACCTGCACTTTCAACTGCTGTGCTGAGTGCACATGGTTGCTGGTATGCTTGTAACCTTCAACTTCAAATGACTGTATCCACTTTAAGTTGTATGTCGGATTGATTTGAATCTCCACATTTGTATTAGTTGATAAGGAGTGTTTTACATGCATGCCAAGTATTGAAAAAAAAAAAGGGCTTCGGACGGACAAGATCTCAGCTGTGAGATGGTACAAAATAACCCCGCCACTTAAGGGTTAGCACTGGAATAAAATTGACAAAACTTGATGACATTGATTGGTTTCTCCTAGCAATCCTGGCGGGAGGAATTTCCGTTGTGTTTGTTGCATCAGAGGCTGTGCTATAAAATGCTGACCAACCATAGAGGGCGCTATTACTATTCCATAAAGCCTACTACATCACACAATGGTAATGGAATTAAAGGAAAAAAAGAACTGAACACTGCCTTGATGGCACAATGGTAATGGAAAGAGG